CCATTCCCCCTCGTCCCCACTGTTGTGAAAACGTCCCCAGTATAAGTAGCAAAGAGTAAGAATTGCACAATTGGTTCGACTGCAGACCACTCTTCAACGGTGGTCCTCGAAATGCTCGTCTCTCCAGCGTCAGGAGGCATGGAAGCATCGTCTATTTTAGTATCTTCCGAGGAGCTCTCATCGAACAGATCTCTCAGATTCTCTTATTCGGCCCCGTGTGACATCTTTTTTACCTGAAAAGCAGAGGATAAAAGTGAATTCGATGACAAAATCAAATCCATCCTTCCACTGCTAATCAAGTGAAAGGGCACGCGAAGGGCCGAGGACAACGTCTCCGACCTAAGCCCTACTCAAATGGCACGGTCAACAAAGGGGGCATGCGTGGGAAATCTCCCTGGTACCTCAAAAGAAAGTTCCCCGGGAACAACTCCTAGAATCTCCAAGAGGAAACCACCGGAAAGCTCATAAGCACACCAGAATTTGTGGTTCCCTCCGACAATGAACGTCGCCGTGTCGCTACGATATCAAGATAAACCAAAATCCTAAAAGTTTCTAAGTCCTAAGTTCCTGAAAGTCCCAACGATGCTGACAACAGAGAAAGTGGTCAAACCATCATCTGCCACCAACATCCACCATAAATCGCCATAAAACTACTTTGTTACAACCCTAACCGCATGCAATCTAAAGTCCAGAAATCAATGAAACATACAACAAGCAAAGAATTAGCATATTTACATGGTCGAGGACGAAGTTTCTGAGTTCAAACTGCTCTAGCCGGTGCTGGTACGGTGGTCAGATGAAGCTTGGCGGCGGCAGACGGCAGAAACAGGAACAAACAAGAAAAGAAGAGAGAGAAGCGAAAGTGCATATGAACTACATGTCACTCTAATTATAAGCATCATCATGACCCTAGCCTAGCCATCATTGCGCATTAAATGCAGCACACGACTCAAGGCACTTCCCTTATTCAGATCTCATCAACTGTTGGTCTCCTAGCACCTCGAGCTCCCCGACGAGCAGCGTAACATATACCCGAGCACGAATGCCCGCAGACACAAGGTAACGACCCCTACTCTGCGGCTAGCGACGATCTTGCCCGGTATTTGGACTATCCTTAAGTAATTACTCCCACGCTCGAAAGCAACGAATTAGAGAGCTACTGTTTCGGACTGGCCCAATGGCTAGACGTGGCCCAATCCGATTCTGCTCCCAGAACAACCCAATTGCCTAAGTATAGCTAAGTGAGGGAAGACATTTACCTTTATGCCCCTCCAATAGGGAAGGTTGACCAGTTTACCACTGGGTCAACACTCCTCCTCGACAGGATTTACTCGTCACACACGGTTCCACCATCCAAAAACAGCTAAGACGCTTGTGCCCGTAACTGCACCCCTGTCTGTAGCAACAACTAGTTATGGGCACCTCTGCCCGTTCCAACGGATAGTTCTGGCAGTTACCTATTCTTCGAGAAACAGTTATCTTGCATTGAAAATAGGGACCAATGGCAAAGCATTTGAGGCATTATAAAAACCAAATGAGAGGGTCAGGTATTCAATACTCACTCTGATACACACATATTCTGTACTTGCCTTCTTTTCCCGATTCTTACTTTAACATCAGAGTGCCTTGTAGGTACACCCCTCCTCCCCTCTCACACCAGCATCACAGGCGTTTGTGTTTGACCCACTTCAGATTCTGATCAGCCGTCAAGATAAAAAATCATAAGCTAAAAGCTACAAGTCCAAAAGCTACTTCAAATAGCTTTATAAAAAACAAAAGCTAGTTAAAAAGCTATAAGCTAAAAGCTAAAGGACAGTTACTAAACAGAGCTTTTTAATCAAAATGAGTTGAAAAGCTAAAAGTTAAAAGCTATTTTTAGTCTTACCAAACATGCTCTGTGACCTTGTTTAGTAAAAATAGCAATTGACTGATAAACTAGCTTATAACTTATGGCGGATGACTGATGGTTAATGACTGATAGCTTATAACATATAATGGAAGATTGATGGCTGATAGCTGATAAGCTAATTGAAGTGTTTGATAAAATTAACGGTTCAACTAACTTATAATGTAAAATGACATAAAAGATATTTAGGCTCTGTTTGGTAAAAATAACGGTTGGTTGATATGCTAATTGATAGCTTATAACTTATAGTTGATGACTGATAGCTTATAGCTGATGGTTGATGACTTATAACTGACAAACTAATTAAAGTGTTTGGTAAAATTAGAGGTTCAATTAGTTGATAAATTAAAATGATATAAAAGATATATAATATATAATTGTTTTATTTAAATTAAGATAAATTATAAAAGGCAATAGTGGATTTTAGTTAAAATAATAAGGACACAAGTGGAAGAAAAAATGATAAGATATAAGACATAAGTTAAAACGCTATTTAAAACAGGGTTTGAAAAATACGCTATAAGTTAGTAAAATAAGCTATAAGCTCGTGATGAAAAGACTGTTTCTAAAGAAATCTTTTATTGTCACATGAGCTTATAAGCTATAAGCTATAAGCTCAAAAATGATCGTGCCAAATAGAGTCTTAATACATATTTATTTTATTTTAAACTAAAATAAATTATAAAGAGTAAGAAAAGGTTTTTGTTAAAATAATAAGGATAAAAATTGAAGAAAAGATGATAAGCTATAATCTATAAGCTAAAACGCTATTTGAAATAGCTTATAAAAAATAAGCTATAAGCTCGTGATAAAAATACCGTTATCAAACAGGTCTAAATTATCATATGAGCTTATAAATTATAAGCTCGAAATTGTGGTTTACCAAACAAAATCAATATGTTTCTTAAATACTCGAAATATCGTTAATTGCTGACATGGAAAATTGAATTATTAGCCTAAAAAATACGTTAAAATAAAGCAATATAAAGAAGATACATTGTATGAAATAACTTGATTGATTGAATGTTGTTTGAAATTTCTAGAGTGTGGTATTTATAGGAAAATGTTGCATCACTAGACTACTTACACAACTAAAGCGTTATTGTTCCCTTCATTTTGAGATATATGACGCCCCACTTTTGATTGTGAACTTCTTCTTCTCATTAGCATGTTATACTACTTCCGCCAATGGGTGCACAATCTTCCTAGCTCGTGGTGCCACAATATTCACCTTTTTTGCTTAATGGTGCTATAATAACTGTGAAACGTGATCATAAAACCTAAATTTTAAGTTCTTAAAAATATAGAGTTTAGGCTCTGTTTGGAAAAATTAGTTGATAGTTGTTAGCTGGTAGCTTATAGCTTATAGCTGATGACTGGTAGCTGATAAGCTAATTTGAGTGTTTGGTAAGTTAACTGTTATATTAACTGATAATTACAAAATGACCTAAAAAGACATTTTTAATTAAGAAATTTATAATTTTAATATCTTATTATATTATAGTATTAAATTAAATTTTATTCAATAAAAGTAAATGTATTAATAACAACATGCAAAATAATTTTAATATTAATATATAAGAAAAATTATAATTATTAGTATTACTTTTACTTTTATGTCCTTATAAATAGCTTTATAAAATACTCTTGATTCTTTTAATTTTATAATGAAATTTAATAAAATATGTGAAATAATAACATTGTAACTTTGAATTTAGTTATATTAATCTAAAATAATAACAAAAATAAGTTTTTTGTCTAATATTTTACAATAAAACAGTAATAACATTTCGAATTTTCTTCACTTTTGTTGATTTCATTGATTCTCCTAACTTGAGAATTATACACACTACTTCTAAATTAATTATATAATTTATATTTAATAAATAAAATAGAGAAAAATAGAAAAAATCTTCTATAACATTCTTCAAAATCTCCCTAAATTTAATATTTTAAAATAAATTTTTTAATAATAAATATTATATATATATATATATATATATATATATATATATATATATATATATATATATATATATATATATATTTAAAATAATAAGAGTATAATTGGAATAAAAAGTCATACGCTAAAAACTACAAACTCAAAAATTACTTTAAATAACTTTTGAAAAAAAAATTAAAAATTAAAAATTATTAAACATAATTTTTTAATCAAAATAAACTGAAAAGTTAAAAACTATAAACTAAAAGTTTTTTTTTTACCAAATAGACTCTTAGATTAAAATTCAATGGTTTTAAAAAAAAGAAAATATAGTGTTTGTACTCACTTGAGCATTCCTAAAAATCATCTTCCTATTAATATTGATATTTTAATTTTTTTTATGTAAACAATTACAGAAAATAAAAACATTCATTACTATTGAAGATAAAATGTAGAATGATAGTTTGGTTAAATTAATTATTAAAATTATATTTTAATAGTATTAAACATAAACAAATTTAAATCACGATAATTAAATGTTTAGACGTGTTTAATTTTGACAAATAATGATAATATAGTTTAATATTATCTACATTTTAAGTTAAAATAATGATATCATCATTTTATATAATCAATATATACATATTTATGATATACTAAAAATGTAGAAAAGAATCACATTCACATAGCAAAAATCAAAGGCTTAAACAAATCGCAGTGTACGGTGAATGAATTTGTCACGATGCGGCACATCTGAACCATCTCTATACAATGCCGCGTAATCTTTAACGAATATTCTCACAGTTGACAATGTTCCATTAAACAAATCACTTCAAATATTCAAACATTTATTTTTATAATAACGCTTTATTAGTAAAATTAATTAATTAATTTCTAAAAAGTTTTTGAGTCTTGTTAAAATATCTATAAACCTACATCACGGAGAAACCTGATAAAGCAGATACAAATAGTGAGACATGTCTAGTTGATAATAACAATAATGAATGATTGCGCCCAATTCATTGACCTTGTTTCCTTTTTTTACTCTCTATATTATATATAAACATTTCGAATCAACGATCTCACAAGAAACCCTTGTTTTTCACTCCCCAATTGAAAAAAAAGCGCAGTTTCCAATTTCAGAATATTTGGATGGAGAATGATTCAGGTTCATCTCAGGGTCCGGTTACATGCGGCTCGTGGATTCGGAGGCCTGAAAATCTCAATTTAGTTGTTCTCGGAAGGTCCAAACGTGGGGATTCATGTCCTTCTTTGCTTCAGATTTTCTCTTTCGACCCTAAAACTGTTTCCATGTCTACTTCTCCTCTGGTATTACTTTTTAATTCTTAATATATATGTATGTCTATAGTATGTATGTCTATAGTAGTTATGTCTGTGTTGCGTGAGTAGAGTTATTATACACTAATTTTGTTATTCAAGAGTGTTTGTAACGTTGAGCTTTTGGAATGACAAATTGGAAGAACAATTTTTTTGTGGTTCTAATGAGATTATTGTTTGATTGATCTTTCAGGCCAATTTTGTATTAGAAGCAGAGGAAGGTGATCCTGTTGCAATTGCTGTGCACCCTAACGGCGACGATTTTATGTGCTCTTTAAGCAATGGTAGCTGCAAGTAAGCTTCTTTTCTATTGATCATGGGGTTTGATCATGGGGTTTGAAACCTTATTTAAACACACTTGTTTTAACATTGCATTTTGCATTTCTCAAAATAAAAGCTACTGCATACTGCCATCTTAAATAACACCTGGATCAGGAGACTGACATTTAATCTTGGAAAATATAAACCTGTAGGCTCAGTTGTACCAAAGTTCTTTTTTCACAGTTTCTTGTTCTGATTTTCTGAAACTAGGATTGTGTATGACATAATAGTTATAAGCTCTACTTTGATTATACGAGCTTATACCCTATTAGCTTGCAGTTTGACCTTACCAAACAAAGCCATATTTATTTCTTAAGCATTGCTAGCAGATAGTTTGTCTTGAGTTACGATTGTTTCTTTAATGGAGACAAAACCAAACAAATGTAGATTGAAGTTTTTCTTTGTGGCTTACAGATTGTTTGAGCTGTATGGTCATGAAGCAAACATGAAGCTGTTGGCCAAGGAACTAACCCCTCTACAGGGTATTGGTTCCCAAACATGTATTACATTTAGTGTTGATGGATCTAAATTTGCTGCTGGTGGGTTGGTAAGCATCACTCTAGATTCCAACCAATTGCATTTATTTTCTGTGGCACTTTTGAGTTCTTCCTCTTCCGAAGTGAATCTTGTTTGTTTTACTTTGATCCTTAACTCGTGTAGGACGGATATCTCAGAATTATGGAGTGGCCTAGCATGCGCATAATTTTGGATGAACCAAAAGCACACAAATCTGTCCGGGATATGGATTTCAGGTAGAAAATCACTGAGCAACTCTATCTGGATCCTTCTAAAAATGCTCTCATTTATGCATCCAGTATAGTTTTATGTAGATAGATACAATGTTTTACACAATTACAGCGTGCTTATATTATAAACATTTTTGATCCTGAAAGTTTTGATGACATCGATACTTATTGTATTGTACTTTGTTTTGTCTTACTTCAGTCTAGACTCTGAATTTCTAGCTTCAACTTCTACTGATGGTTCAGCAAGAATTTGGAAAGTTGAAGATGGTGTTCCTGTGACTACTTTGTCTCGCAACTCGGTACAGTCTGATTGATTTCAGAACCTTCTCTGGAGTTTCTTTTACAAGAATCTGTGCAGTTACTTGTACTCCCTTGATCTAGAATTTTAATTTTTGTCTCTTTAGGATGAAAAAATTGAATTATGCCGATTTTCCAAGGATGGAACCAAACCATTTCTATTTTGTGCCGTTCAAAAAGGTATACGAGTATCTTGTTTTGAGTATATTCTAGAGTATTAATTTTTTATTTGTATATCTGTCAGATCTCTTTGGATCAACTATGGCCTTAATCATCATTGCCTCTAATTTTACGCAGGGGACAAGTCTCTAACTTCAGTTTGGGACATGAGTTCGTGGAACAAAATTGGACATAAGAGGCTGCTTAGAAAGTCGGCTTCAGTAATGTCCGTTAGCCACGATGGGAAATACCTTTCTCTGTAAGAACCTATATTTGCCTTGTAGTAATACACGCCAATCGCTTTCTTATTTGATTGATAACACATTGTCTATATTATAGCACATTTAAGTCATTTGAATTGTGAGGTGAGATTTTGATTTTGGTCATATTGCCAAAACTAAAGTGTGAAGAAAAGAATGTTTGCACTGATAATGATTTTCCGTCTTTTTAAATGATCTCTGTTTTTAAACCTATAGCACTGCATTTAAGTTTAGCTTGCAGTGATTCCTTCTTTGAGTTTCTTCTCCTGTAAACCCCTTCAACCTTTGCACCTATAAGTCATCTGTTCTTAAACAGCGTGGCTAATTGTGTTCTACGTTATCATGTTCATTTCTAATATATGCCATATCCAATTAGCTGTGCTGTTTTGTCCCATGCTTTGTTTGTCCTGTCTCAGAACTGAGGTTTCTCTTTGGGACCATTCAACTTAATACGAATTTGATTGCTTGTTTAAAACTACCAAAGAAAGAAACTTAATTGTAAATATGTTGTGGTCAAATATTTATAGCACGCATCAGATAAAATTTGTTCATTTTTTTTAATAAAAAAAGTAAACTTGTGATGTGATGTGCACCTTGCTTGTATAATCTAGAGCTCATCGGATTTCTATAATTTTAGGGCAAGTAAAGATGGAGACATATGTGTTGTTGAAGTAAAAAAGATGCAGATACACCATTATAGCAAGAGACTACACCTCGGTACAGCTATTGCAACGTTGGAGTTCTGTCCTAGTGAAAGGTAATTGTCCATGCTCTATTGGTTTAATTTGCCACATTTTTTATGTATATCAATCATCATATGCCAAAAAGTTCGTTTTTATTAGTCTAATAAATCAATTCTCTTGGTCTTGGCTATTCACCCGAGGTTTTATTTTATGCAGGGTTGTACTCACAACCTCAGTAGAATGGGGAGCATTGGTCACCAAACTTAATGTACCTAAAGATTGGAAAGGTTATCTCTCTCTCCCCCCTCCCCCCCTCTCTCTCTCTCTCTCTCTCTCTCTCTCTCAAACACACACATGTCCTTTATGTGGTTTGTTATTTTTCTTTTAATAGTTAAAAAATATGCACCACAAATTCAAACAAGGTGTTTCAACTCATTACCCGTTCACTGAATGTAATTAACAATAATCTTAAACGTCACTAACCACAAATTTCAAGTGTTCGTATATACATGATACTCATCAATCATCCAAATTTTATTCAAAAATATACACGATTTTCAGATGACAAAATAAATATGATATCCATTAACCGCAATCTGTGTTTAAATAATCACATGAAAAATTATTGTTAATGACGATCAGAATTGTGGTTACTTACCTGCAGTGGATGATTAATGAGTTAGATACCTTGTTATATTGGTTAAGCATTCAAATTGCTGTCTAACGTGTGTGTCAAAATAACACAACTCAGAATGTATTGTTCATTGAATTTGACATTTTAAATTTGTTTTGAAACATGCAGAGTGGCAGATATACTTGGTGCTTTTAGGACTATTTTTAGTGTCAGCAGTTGCATTTTACATATTCTTTGAAAACTCTGATTCATTCTGGGGATTTCCAGTGGGGAAATACCAACAACCAAGACCAAGGTTTAAACCAATGATAAGAGACCCTCAATCATTTGATGATCAAAACTCCTGGGGACCGCTAGATATGTAACCGCATCGACATTGATCTCAGGAGGATTATACATTGTAGATTTAGACAATTGATTGCTATTACGAGCATTTACTTTGGTTTCCTTTTCCCTTTGATGAAAATTTTAATATTGATTTGCAATTTAATTTTATAAATAGGAATAGTCAAATTAGTTTTTGAAATATTGCAAGTTGCTCTAGAGGCTGTGATGTAACCATGGATGAATCTTCTACTCAAGACATTTGGGGCATTTTTTCCAATTAAGATTTCAAAATTTCAAAATATTATATAGGGTATTGGTTATATTCTTATATGACATTATATTAGAAATAGAAATCCTTTGCAAAAAATATCACATTTGACACCTTAATGTAGGGTAGTTAACATATCAATACATAAATGATAAATCAGTATTTGACTTTCTTTGTATTTTGGCGTGTAAATAATTTGGAAAAAATAAATATTTTACTCAAGACATTTAATAAACACAGATTTAGTAGTTGTGAGAAAATCACTTTGAAGTAATAAAAAATAACAATAGCAAGTCTCATTTAAGGTGATAACTTTGGTACTCTTGAATTTGGTTGGGTATTAATACCCTTAACCAATCAATGCGATATCATCTTTTCACTTTATTTTATTTTAAAATAAATTAAAATTTTAAAATAATTTGCACAAATTTTATTTTAAAATAAATTAAAATTTCAAAAGAATTTGCACAAAAGCTATCAATATTCAACTTTAAACTAATGGGTATCAAAGGATTTACTTTAATTTATCTAGAGTAAAAATGACAGCTTTAAAAAATATTGATCTAAGTATTATAAATATTGTTTAAAGTATTATAAATTAGAGATGTTATTGAAAAAGAAAAATACAAATTAGTATACATTATTTTAAAATACAAATTATTATACATCTATTTTAATAATAATAATAATAATAATAATAATAATAATAATAATAATAATAATAATAATAATAATAATAATAATAATAATAATAATAATTTAATATTTGAGATTTTATTGAAATTGTTTTTTAATTATAAATATAAATTTTGTTTACATTTAAAATGGATGTGATTGGCCTCAAATCTTAAAAGATTCAACCTAACACATATTATTGTTATGCTAAAATATGTTCACGACATCACAACCATTTATAAACAACTGTGATTGTGTAAAACTTCTTTACATTAGTGGATTTTAATTAAATTTTTTATAAATTTAATATATATATTTTTTAATTTCATAATAAATATGTATTCTCAAAATTGTCATTAATAAGATATTTATTCTACATGAATAAAAAAATAATTATATTAATTATTTTTTTAAATGACATTTATAATAATATTTACAAATCAGTTTTTTAAATAAAATTTTGTATTTGACATTCTATATAATTTCATATTAATTGTATTGTTTCAATAAACAATATCCACCACATGTCATTTTGTGTATTACAGTAAACATAATATTTATAAGTTCATTTAATGAAAATGTACAATCTTATAATAGGATATTCCTCTAATCCACATCCTTAAGAGGTTAAAAAATTGATTACTCATTTTCATTGATAAATATTTATATGTCAAAATAGTATCTACAATTGTTATAATAACAAATAAAATAATTTCTTTTAAAGCTACCAAGAGAAGGAAACTATAGAATTCATTAAAATTCATAAAAGGGGAAATATAAAAAAAAATATAAGAATCATTTAGTCAATAATAAAGAACATATTTTATTCCATATTTAGAAAAATAAGAAAGAAAAAAATTATATTTTATTAAATATACTACTACATGCATACTTAAAATATAATAAAATCTATAGTAAAAATTATCAAATTTTATTATTTTTAATTATATAATTAAATAATATTTCTTAACCGAATAACAATTGCATAGATTAATATAAAACAAATTATATGATACAAATAACAAAAAATAAATTTATCTAAAAATTTAATTAAATAAAAGTTTAACCACTTTTAACAAAATTATTCATAATTAAAGAGTTCAAAAAATAATAAATAAATTACGGATTAAATAGAAGCTTCAATACTACAAAAGTATCCATCAATATTTTTAGAATTTTTGTGCCTGACTTTTTTTTTTTTTTTTAAATTTTAAATCTTTGCAACTTTGTCAAGTTCTTCTTTTATAAAGTAGGTTTTAGCATTTCACATTGTGCACGATCCTATTCCATTGAAGTATGTATTAAAATGTTAAGTGATGAGCAAAAAGAAAATATGTCTTTGAGATTGAAGAAATTCAAAATTATTTTAGAAGTTGACCGAGGCTTGACGGCGGCAATGAGTCTAGCCGCCAACGGACTGTGATTATAGGCAGGTCTACAACGATAAAAAATGGGTTAGTTTCGGCAAACAATTCAAGTTTGTTCGGCATAAGATATAATTCGAGAAGTTTTTGTGTATCAGGTTTGATTATTTTAATTTGTAAATTAGTTTGTAAATGTGTTGTGCTTTGCCGATTAAGTATCTGTTGTGTTTTAGTAGTTATAAATATGTATATTCATCATTATTATCTTAAGAACTTTAGAGATGGATATAAAGAGAAGAGTTTGAAAATTTTAGTGGTAATCTTAGAGATGCAAAAGTAAATTTTTTAGGGTGTTTTTGAAATTTGGGAATTTTTTAGAGATATTTAAGAGAGATTGAGAAACACCTATAAATATTATAGGCTTGTGTTATTCATATATAGAAAATTGGAGAGATTGAAAAACACATGAAGGTAGAAAATATGATTTGTTCTTGAGAACTTGGACGTCTATATTTTCTTGTAACTCATTTGTAATTTTTTTGTAACAACTTTTGGTATTATAGTGAATTAGAAAGTTATTGTCTTTTCCTAAGATATCTTTTGATCGAACTGGGTAAATAAATTATTGTGTTTTTTGTCTTTTATCTTTTTTTTGTCAAGTTAAATTGTTATCTTATTGCACATAGAATTATTTTTGTTAAATGCTGTTTACTTTAGTTGTCATTCATTATTCTTTATCTCCACAAATCAAATTTTTTATTGTGATTAAACCTTTCAATTTCACAACATACCTTATTATAGTATGATTTTGTCATTTAATTCATTTAAGAGTGTGTGGTTAGATCTTGAATCGCGCCACTATCTCATACCACAACGAGACAATTTTCACATACCTTTTTCTTTTGGCATATGCATGATTTGTCACCCCGGTTTTTCTTGATCGAGGTGATTTTTACAAAAATGTTTCTTTCTTCTTCATACTTTTGTGTGTATTTTTTACTCTGTATCTCATCATTATAATATCCACCATGCACAAACATCATAGAATTGTTTAGTTTAAGTGATTCGAGGCGAAACGAGACTTTGCACAATTGTCTTGACTCTTGTTATAATTTATTAAATATCATGCAATATTAATAAACAAATTTAACAAAAAAAAAACTATAAAATTAATAAGAAGTAATAGTACGACATGACTTCAATAACTATTAACTTATAAATATTTATTTTATAAAAAATCAAATCACTATTATATACCATTTCCTTTCAAATTCACAATGTATTCAAAGGAAGTATCTAAAGTTTATCAATCAAATACACATTCATTAATAAATATTATAAATCCAAAATTTATAATATTTTCAAACCTTCTCTCAAAAGATAAATTTACAAATTAACTCTGAAAATAAGAGATCAAACTAAATCAATTATTAGTATAACCAACATAATAGGACAACCAAAGAAAATGATCATCTTAGAAAAAATCAACAAGCAAAAAGAGAAACCAGCAGAGAGATAAGAAACTTCCATAGAAAGGAATCAACAATTAAATCAAACTAAACAAAACATTACCAAACAAATATATAAAATAATTGAACTAAACAAAACTAAATATAACCAAACCAATAAAGAAACCAAAATAAACCAAACAAAATATTTAAAAACCATGATAGAATCTTGTAGAATTGAGAGAATAGAAAGAATGATGTAAACTCTCATTCTATTGAATTACTTTCTAATACAAGAGAGTGCTCTCTATATATTGAGAGAGAGTAGTAACAAACTCTGTTATAATAGTAGTAACTAACTCTGTTATAACAACCTCACAGTATATTGACAGAATATAAATGCTACTCTATTAGTCCCCCTTAGAAACTGTCGGTTGGTCTGCGAGATCAGTCTTGTGTAGCACATGCAGCTTGGTACGCAGAGGAACAAACTTAGCAGCAGACAAAGGTTTAGTTAGTATGTCAGCCCATTGGTCTTGAGCTGGAACATGAGCAACAGATAGGTGCTTGCTGAGGACTTTCTCTCGCAAAAAGAAAATGTCAAGTTCCATATGCTTAGTCCGGTTGTGGAGAACAGGATTGTGGGCAAGGGTGACAGTGCTCAAGTTGTCACACAGAATTCTAGGAACCTGAGATGGACAGTTAAGTTCTTTGAGTAAGGATTGAATCCAAATAAGCTCAGCAGCCAACTGAGCCATGCTACGATACTCTGCTTCAGCACTGGATCTAGCAACAATTTGCTGCTTCTTTGACCACCATGACACAACATTAGGACCAAGATAGATACGGACCCCAGAGGTGGACCTCCTATCATCAGGGTCTGATGCCCAATCAGCATCACAGAACCCTAACAAATGCATAGGCTGCTGAACAGAAGCAGGTTGGATGAGCAAACCATGATGGAGAGTGCCACTTAGGTATCTTAAGATTCTCTTGACAGCCTTCCAATGGTCCTCTAAAGGGTTGGACAGAAACTGACAAACCTTGTTGACAGAAAACGAAATCTCAGGCCTAGTAAGAGTAGCATATTGTAAGGCACCAACAACAGATCTGAACTGGGTGGGATCTTCCACAGCAGCTGAGCCTACTTTGGGCAGCTTGCTACTAGAAACCATGGGAGTAGGCATGCTATTAGCATTTGCCATATTCAATTTAGACAGTAGGTCTGTGATATATTTGGTCTGAGATAGGAGCAATGAGCCATTGGGAAGATGAGACACTTC